TACAAATAAACAAATATAATTTTTAAAAATCTTTAAAAAGATTGAGTTCAAAAATATGTTATAAAAATAAAACAAAAGAACAAAATAAGTTAAGCACAGCAGCACCCACCTGTAATCCTACACTTTGGAGACAGAGGCAGGAGAATGGCTCCAAGTTTAATGCCAGCCTGGGGATAAATAAGATCTTGTCTCGAAAAAGAAAAATAAGGCAGCTGGAGAAACTGCTCAGTGGTTAAGAACACTGGATACCCTTGCAAAGGACCCAGGTTCAGTTTCCAGTACCCACATGGCAGCTCACAATCATAACTCCAGTACCAGAGGATCTGATGCCTTCTTTTGACTTCCAGGGGCATTGAACAACACTGGTACATGCAGGCAAAACATTCATATACATAAAATAAAAACAAATAAAATATAAAAGAAAGACTTTTTGTTGTTGTTCCTTAAAAAGTGTCGGGAGTGGTGGTGCACGCCTTTGATCCCAGCACGCAGGAGGCAGAGGCAGGTGGATCTCTGTGAGTTCAAGGCCAGCCTGGTCTACATAGTGAGTTCCAGGACAGCTGGGGCTACAGGGAGACCCTGTCTCAAAAAAAGATGCCTCAACCCCCAAAAAACAAAGGAGGATCCCAATGAAGAAAGGCACTGAACATTGACCTCTGGACACACACACATAAAATACATAAATAAGCATAGAACAAGAGGATCCAAACTCTGATTCCTATCAAAAAGATGAAGAAACCAAAATGAAAATAGAGAATATAATCAGAGATACAAAAGAAGCACTCAGGGGCCTGGAGAGATGGCTAGGTGGTTAGGACCACTGGCTGCTCTTGCAGAGGACCTGGGTTTGATTCCCAGAACCCACATGGCAGCTAAGAACCAACCATCTGTAACTCCAGTTCCAGGGGATCCAATGCCCTCTTCGGACCTCTGCAGGCATTGCATGACATGGATACACTTACACACATGCAGGCAATACACCCGTACACATAAAATAAAAATAAATGAGAGATAGCTCAGCGGTTAAGAGCACTGACTGTTATTGCAGAGGACCCGGGTTCGAGTCCCAGCACCCACATGGTAGCTACGAACTGTCCTTAACTCCAGTTCTAGGGGAATCCAAAGCCCTCTTCTGACCTCCGCTGCACTGTACAACACGGGTACACTCACATACATGCGGGCAATACACTTATACACTAAAAAATAAAATAAAAATAGAAATAATAAAATAAATTAAAATAAATAAATATTAAAATAGAAGCTTTAATTCAGGCACGCTCGTAGGCAGAAGAAATGGACAAGGACTCTGCCAGCCGCCACTGAAAGTGCAAAGGCCTATGTGGACCCGCCAACAAGAAGGAACAGCCAACTCCATCAGAACAACAGGAGGAAATAGTAAAAACAACAAGAACACAACCCCAGTGAGTTTGGATGCTGTTCCCATCACTGCACCAAATTACACAGCGTCAAAATTCATAAACGCACAGCTGAGTACATTTGAATGAGGTGGCACATGCCTGTAATCCCAGCACTCATGAGGCTAAGGCAGGAGAATCTCAAGTTCAAGGTTAGCCTGGACAACACAGGACCCTGTCAAGTGAGAAAAAGGGGGAAAACTACAGGAAAGGGAGGAGGCAAGGAAAAAAAAAAAAACTACAGGAAAGTAGAGATAGTGAAAACTGCTAACATTTCTCAGCTCTATAAGCCAAAGAAGAAAAAATGAATAACACTTTTAAAAAAATCTCAGTGAGGGGGGCTGGAGAGATGGCTCAGTGGGTAAAATGCTTGCTACACAAACATGAAAGACCTGAGTTCAGATCCTCAGCATCCACATAAAAAGCTGGACATGGCAGCACACATGTGTAACCCCAGTGCTGGGGGAAGGATATAGACTGATTCTAGGTGCTCACTGGCCAGCCAGTCTTATCAGAAACAGAAAGAGATGAGTTCCAGATTCAGTGAGAGCCCTGTCTCAAAAAATAAGGAGAAGCAATTGAGTAAGACCTCCTGACATCAAGCTCTTTACAATGAAGCCAGGCATGGGACCCACATCTGTAATCTAGCACTTGGAAGGTGGAAACAGGACAATCATGAGTTCAAGGCCATCCTCACCTACATACAGCGTGTTGAGAACAGCCTGGGCAACATGAGATCCTGTCTCCAAAAGTGAAAGGAAGGGAGAGAGAGAGAGGAGGAAAAAGAGATGGTCACAGTCGTACACCTTTCTTTATAGACTACCCCCCCCACACAAAAAAACTAATAAATACATATGTGGTGGCTCAAATACTTGGACACTGAGATAGGAGACTCGGGCAGGAATTCAAGCCCAGCCTGGGATACAGAATGGAACTCTCAGAAAGTCAAAGACAAAAAATAAAATGTGTTACTGTATATATACAAATATTTGTTTTCAATTTGTGATAAAATATGTATCACAAGCCAGGGGTGGTGGCGCACACCTTTAATCCCACTTGGGAGACAGAGGCAGGCGGATCTTTGTGAGTTCAAGGCCAGCCTGGTCTACATAGT